GTGAGTGAGTGAGTGAGTGTGTGAGTGAGAGCGTGTGAGTGAGCGTGTGAGTGAGTGTGTGAGTGAGAGTGTGTGAGTGAGTGAGAGCGTGTGAGTGAGAGAGAGTGTGTGAGTGAGTGAGTGAGTGAGTGAGTGTGTGTGTGTGTGAGTGTGAGAGTGTGTGAGTGAGAGAGAGCGTGTGAGTGAGTGTGTGAGTGAGAGTGTGAGTGAGTGTGTGAGTGTGTGAGTGAGTGTGATGAGAGAGAGTGTGTGAGTGAGTGTGTGAGTGTGTGAGTGAGAGAGTGTGTGAGAGTGAGTGTGTGAGTGAGAGAGTGTGTGAGTGAGTGAGTGTGTGAGTGAGTGTGTGAGTGAGAGAGAGCGTGTGAGTGAGTGTGTGAGTGAGAGAGAGCGTGTGAGTGAGAGTGAGTGAGTGTGTGAGTGAGTGAGTGAGTGTGTGAGTGAGCGTGTGAGTGAGTGTGTGAGTGAGTGTGTGAGTGAGAGAGAGCGTGTGAGTGAGAGAGAGAGTGTGTGAGTGAGTGAGTGAGTGAGTGAGTGTGTGTGTGTGAGTGTGTGAGTGAGTGTGTGAGTGAGAGAGAGTGTGTGAGTGAGTGAGAGCGTGTGAGTGAGAGTGTGAGTGAGTGTGTGAGTGTGTGAGTGAGTGTGAGTGAGAGAGAGTATGTGAGTGAGTGTGTGAGTGAGTATGTGAGTGAGAGAGTGTGTGAGAGTGAGTGTGTGAGTGAGAGAGTGTGTGAGAGTGAGTGTGTGAGTGAGTGTGTGAGTGAGTGTGTGTGTGAGATTGAGTGTGTGGGTGTTTCTCAATGTCGAGTAAAGCTGCTCCAGAGCCACTATTTCAAGGATGCTACATCATCGAGTGCCGCAGAAGGACTGTTCCAATGTCCAGCATACTTGGAATTCTACCGGAAATTTCGAGGCTGCACATGTGTATCCTCCGCGGTCTTAAAATCCCCACAATGCTTTGCGCACGGACCAGTTTCCAAATCTTTGGCAGGAAATGTAAGACGGGGCCTCTCATATGACGCACACCTGCACACTTGCTCGCCTGTTCCACTCTTCGTTTTCCGAGGCTAGGAGGTATTCTTGCCTCGCTTCTTAAGGAACTCACTCGGAGGTACATGTCCTACCAAGCAAGCCTCCTCGACATTGAGAAACACCCTGTGTGTGTGTGTGTTACCTTCAGTGGGGGGTGAGGGCGAGCTGCAGAACTCGGGGAATCTCTCTCTGAGCATCGATCGCAGCTCCCGGTCCAGCTTTGGGTTATCAAACAGCGGAGCGAGGTGACTGAGAGAGGACAGGTTATTACTTATTATTCATTTATAATAAGGGAGTGTGTGTGTGTGTGTGTGTGTGGGTGTGTGTGAGTGTGTGTGTGTCTTACGCCAGCACTCTCTTCTCCATGATGAATGTGAGCGAGTTGAAGACGCCCTGACGGACCTGAGTTTCCAGCGGAGGGAAGAAGTGTGGGATGATCTGAGGAGGAAACAAGGAGTATTATCTCCACATGATCCAGGTACAGAGGTGTGTGTGTGTGTGTGTCTTACCCTGCACATGAAGTCCAGCAGCGTGGCGGTGATGGCAGGATGAGGCTTCATGGAGTGATGCATCACCAGGATGGCCGGTTCTGAAAACACACACACCATGAGACAGAACACACACCTCACACTTACTGTCAGGAGGTACTAAGGCGAGTCTGTGTGTGTGTGTGTGTGTGTGTGTGTGTGTGTGTGTGTGTGTGTGTATGTGTGTGTGTGTGTGTGAGTATCACCTATGTTCATGATGCTGTCTTTCTCAGGATTGAAGAACAGCCAATCATAGAAGAGAGCCAGCTTGGCATTTGAGGCAGCGACGTTCGACTGGAAAAACAATTTGATTGGTTATTGACAGCCTGAGGCCCCGCCCACTAAGTGTTAAGGAAACAATGTAGGAAAAAAGGAAGGGCATAAGGTTTCAATAGAGGAGGCAAAGAAGGACACAAGAAAGGACTCGAAGGGGAAAAGGAGGTGATTTGGAGTGACAGCTGGAGGCCCCGTCCCCTTACCGTGCAAGTGGTCAGCAACCAGCCAATGATGGCCCAGCGCGGCAGGATGTCGGAGCTCAGCACCTCATTGGACGGATGGACGACTCCGCAGATGTAGCGAATCAGATCGCAGCGCAGGGACTGGCTCTCTGCTGTGGACAGGTACTGTCTCTGAAACCAGTCCTGATACCGCTTCTGTTGTCCAAAACGCACCTGAGCACAGGTAAGATACATTCAGAGGTCACCTCAGAGGTCACCTGACACAGGTAAGATACAGTCAAGAGTTCACCTGACACGGGTAAGATACAGTCAGAGGTCACCTGACACGTGTAAGATACAGTCAGAGGTCACCTGACACAGGTAAGATACAGTCAGAGGTCACCTGACACGTGTAAGATACAGTCAGAGGTCACCTGACACAGGTAAGATACAGTAAGAGGTCACCTGACACAGGTAAGATACAGTCAGAGTTCACCTGACACAGGTAAGATACAGTAAGAGGTCACCTGACACGTGTAAGATACAGTCAGAGGTCACCTGACACAGGTAAGATACAGTAAGAGGTCACCTCAGAGGTCACCTGACACGTGTAAGATACAGTCAGAGGTCACCTGACACGTGTAAGATACAGTCAGAGGTCACCTGAGGATACAGTCAGAGGTCACCTGACACGGGTAAGATACAGTCAGAGGTCACCTCAGAGGTCACCTGACACGGGTAAGATACAGTCAGAGGTCACCTGAGGATACAGTCAGAGGCCACCTGACACAGGTAAGATACAGTCAGAGGTCACCTGAGGATACAGTCAGAGGTCACCTGACACAGGTAAGATACAGTCAGAGGTCACCTGAGCAGGTAGTGGTGTTGTAAAGTGTGTTTACCCTGGAGGTCATGAACAGCAGCTTGGTCTCCATGTCTGGAGTGAGACGACACGCCAGAAACTTCCTGGAAGTGCGAGCAGTCAGCAGCTGGAGCACACCTGTGGGAGGTGTAGTTTACAGTGAACAGAGGATTGTGGGAGGTGTAGTTTACAGTGAACAGAGGACTGTGGGAGGTGTAGTTTACAGTGAACAGAGGACTGTGGGAGGTGTAGTTTACAGTGAACAGAGGACTGTGGGAGGTGTAGTTTACAGTGAACAGAGGACTGTGAAAGGTGTAGTTTACAGTGAACAGAGGACTGTGAAAGGTGTAGTTTACCGGTGAACTGAGGACTCAGGACTTGAGGGTTGTGCAGCAGGTCTTTCCACACCAGCTCCACCTCTGGGATCCGGGCAACGTTCTGCAGCAAACGCACCAGATCCCTGCCGATGATCTGACACTCTGCGAACTACAGAGAGAGGCAGGGTTACACCAGCGGATCAACATTCACATCTCCTCCCTACCTCTCTCTCGCTCCCTCCCTACCTCTCTCTCGCTCCCTCCCTCTCTCCCCTCCTCACCTTGTCTCTCAGCATGCTGATGCAGTAGTCAACCTCCTTCTGACGCAGGATCAGCAGGTTTGGTGCTCCGTGGTCCACGATGAGGCGGAGATAAGTGTAGACCGACATGGCTATCAACATCCCGTTCTTCAGAACAAACTCCCTGCAGAGAGGAAAACACTTACAGTCAACACTCGGCTGTATCCCATTAAACTGTCAGCCGTATCACAGTCAACTGTGGGCCATATCACAGTAAACACTCAGCCGTATCGCAGTCAACACTCGGCCGTATCACAGTCAACACTCAGCCGTATCACAGTAAACTGTCAGCCGCATCACAGTCAACACTCAGCCATATCACAGTCAACTGTCAGCCGTATCACAGTCAATACTCAGCCGTATCACAGTCAACTGTGGGCTGTATCACAGTCAACTGTCGGCCGTATCACAGTCAACACTCAGCCGTATCACAGTACACTGTCAGCCGTATCACAGTCAACACTCAGCCGTTTCACAGTCAACTGTGGGCCGTATCACAGTCAACTGTGGGCCATATCACAGTAATCCGTCAGCCATATCACAGTAAACTGTCAGCCGTATCCCAGTAAACACTCGGCTGTATCGCAGTAAACACTCGGCCGTATCACAGTAAACTGCCACCATCACATTAAACTGTCAGCCGTATCGCAATACACCGTCAGCTCTTTCGCTGTAAACTGTCAGCCGTATCGCTGTAAAATGTCAGCCGTATCGCAGTCAACACTCTGCCGTATCACAGTAAACTGTCAGCCGTATCACAGTCACCTGTCAGCCGTATCGCTGTAAAATGTCAGCCGTATCGCAGTCAACACTCTGCCGTATCACAGTAAACTGTCAACCGTATCACAGTCACCAGTCGGCCGTATCACTGTCACCAGTCGGCCGTATAGCGGTAAACTGCCAGCCGTATCACAGTCACCAGTATCACAGTAAACTGTCAGCTGTATCACAGTACACACTCAGCAGTACAGTTTTTAGTTGTGAAACGTACTTTTGGTCCAGCAGGATCTCCAGGACGTTCTCCGACAGCCAGAGGTTTTTGGAGGAAATATCTCCACCTGGAAAAAAATGACAGTGTTACTCTGGGACAGCCCATACAGAGGTGTTTCACATCATGACGTTTATTTATATATATGTATGTCTGACCTGCGATCTGTTTGAGCAGAGTCATCAAAACTCCGTCTGCTCCAACTACTCCACTCTTCACCAGCTCCTTCACCAGCCACACCAGCTGGGTTCGGGGGGTGTCCTGCAGCTTCAGGAACTTCTCCATCAGGATCTGGTTGATCTTCAGCAGGATGATGTTCATCCCGTCTCTGCTGAGCAGCGTCAGGTCTCTGTAGCACTGTCATACACACACAGTGATGTCATGGTGATGTCACAGTGATGTCACACATTAATATTAGGGGTGTGTGTGGGGGTGTCTTACCCTCTGGGCCTGGGCTGGTTCTGTGAGCAGCAGAGAGAAGAGACCCAGACAGACCTCCTCATGCTGCTGCTGGCCTTTACACACCTGCAGAACCCAAACACTTTAACATCAACATAAACAGGAAGCAGCATCATGAGCACATCCTGTTTCTATCTGAGCATTAAGACTGACGGTTAGGGTAGTTGTAGTACTTGTAGTAGTATTTGCAGTACTTGTTGTAGTGTTTAGTACATGTTGTAGTGTTTGGTTATTGTTGTAGTGTTTAGTACTTTCAGTAGTGTTTGCAGTACTGGTTGTAGTGTTTAGTTCTTGTTGTAGTGTTTAGTACTTGTGGTAGTGTTTACAGTACTTGTTGTAGTGTTTACAGTACTTGTTGTAGTACGTGTTGTAGTGTTTACAGTACTTGTTGTAGTGTTTAGTACTTGTTGTAGTGTTTAGTTCTTGTTGTAGTGTTTAGTTCTTGTTGTAGTGTTTGCAGTACTTGTTGTAGTGTTTACAGTTCTTGTTGTAGTGTTTAGTACTTGTTGTAGCAGTGGCGAGCCGTCAGGGCCCTCTAGGCCCTCTGTGAGGGCCTAAGATATTCTAAAAAATAATATTTAAAAAAAAAATATATTTTTTAAATATATATATTTTTTAATATTATTTGTTATATTTTTCATTAGTTTTACAGAAAAAAAAAAACTTGATTTAATTGTATTTAAATAACATTTCCAAAGAAATAAATCCTTCGAATCTGCCTGTTCAGTCTCTGTTTGAATGTGAAGGGTTACATGAAAGAAGGTCTGGCCCTCTCTGCGATTCACAGAGGGTCCGCTATAGTAACTGAACGAGAGAGTAATGTCAAATGACAGTACAATTGACCAATCATATCTTCCCTCTAAATGGGTGGGTTTTATTATCGCGGACTTTATGACAAGTTCCGCCCGCTGTGAAACTTTTCTTGTTTCCATAGCAACAACAACTTCCTGTCAACAGCGTGAACTCTCCTTCAAAATAAAAGCATGCCAAATTACACTTAAGACATACAACTGCAACGAAAGTAACAAACACAATGCAATATCATTTTCAATGTCAAAGAACACAAATTGGGTTCACAGGTGTTGTTTTGTGTGGTAGAGGGTCGCTGTCATTGATGCGTTTTGCACCCTGGGCTGTTGTTTTGATATTCCGCTGAAGTATACGCTGTGACGTAATAACTATTTTTTTTTCTTTTTTTCGAGGGAATTGGTGGGGGTCAGAGGGCCTAGGTATAAAGCTCACGGCTCGCCACTGTGTTGTAGTGTTTACAGTACTTGTTGTAGTGTTTAGTACTTGTACTTGTTGTAGTGTTTAGTACTTGTTGTAGTGTTTAGTACTTGTTGTAGTGTTTAGTACTTGTTGTAGTGTTTACAGTACTTGTAGTGTTTACAGTACTAGTGTTTACAGTACTTGTTGTAGTACTTGTTGTAGTGTTTACAGTACTTGTTGTAGTGTTTACAGTACTTGTAGTGTTTACAGTACTAGTGTTTACAGTACTTGTAGTGTTTGCAGTACTTGTTGTAGTGTTTACAGTAGTTGTTGTAGTGTTTACAGTAGTTGTTGTAGTGTTTACAGTAGTACTTGTACTGTGTGTATCTTACGTTGGCGGTGAGTGCGTCGTTGGCCTCTCTCTCTGACAGCCCATTGGTCAGCGCCTGTACGATCCCGACACATCGCTCCAGCCTCTGCACACACAACAAGAATCAACTGTCATGAACACAGTCACAACACAGTCACAACACAGTCAGAACACAGTCACAACACAGTCACAACACAGTCAGAACACAGTCAGAACACAGTCAGAACACAGTCAGAACACAGTAAGAACACAGTCACAACACAGTCACAACACAGTCACAACACAGTCACAACACAGTCACAACACAGTCACAACACAGTCACAACACAGTCAGAACACAGTCACAACACAGTCACAACACAGTCACAACACAGTCACAACACAGTAAGAACACAGTCACAACACAGTCACAACACAGTCACAACACAGTCACAACACAGTCACAACACAGTCAGAACACAGTCAGAACACAGTCACAACACAGTCACAACACAGTCACAACACAGTCACAACACAGTCACAACACAGTGAGAACAGTCACAACACAGTCACAACACAGTGAGAACACAGTCACAACACAGTCAGAACACAGTGAGAACACAGTCACAACACAGTGAGAACACAGTCACAACACAGTCACAACACAGTGAGAACACAGTCACAACACAGTCACAACACAGTCACAACACAGTCAGAACACAGTCACAACACAGTCAGAACACAGTCACAACACAGTCACAACACAGTCACAACACAGTGAGAACAGTCACAACACAGTCACAACACAGTGAGAACACAGTCACAACACAGTCAGAACACAGTCACAACACAGTCAGAACACAGTCACAACACAGTCAGAACACAGTGAGAACACAGTCAGAACACAGTGAGAACACAGTCAGAACACAGTGAGAACACAGTCACAACACAGTGAGAACACAGTCACAACACAGTGAGAACAAAGTCAGAACACAGTCAGAACACAGTCAGAACACAGTGAGAACACAGTGAGAACACAGTCAGAACACAGTGACAACACAGTCAGAACACAGTGAGAACACAGTCACAACACAGTCACAACACAGTCACAACACCATGGCCCTTTCTCATTTCAAAGATTTCCCCTCCTCGGTCCTCTCAGTGTTTACATCCTGTCTGTCTCAGTGTTTACATCCTGTCTGTCTCAGTGTTTACATCATGTCTGTCTCAGTGTTTACATCATGGATGTCTCAATGTTGATAAATCACTAAATGTCTCCTCTCTCCCTCTGACATGTGAAACACTGCGCATGCGCATGTAGCGCTTTCTGGTCCCATCCATGTTTACGTGTGGTTAGCATCATGCTAGGCTAACTGTGGGTCAGCTGAGAGATGTTATGTCTCTGAGGGGGGGGGCACACGGAGACCCCCCCCCCCCCCCCCCTTCAGGTGTCACCCCCCTCCCCCTCTTAACACCAGCAGGGAATCGAACCCGCAACCCGGTGAACACACGGCTCTGCTAAGCTAACTATGCTATCCATGCTACCTATCTAGCCTCCCTGTCTTTGTGCCCTCAGCCCGTGTTAGAAAGGAGCAGCAGAACCTGACCCGGGCTACCTGACCCGGGTTATCTCTCTCTCTCAGGGCCCTGACCCGGGCTATCTGACCCGGGTTCTCTCTCTCTTTCACGGCCTTATCTCACCTCCTCCAGCTCGTCTTTAGCGTCCAGCTGCGAGCCCAGCAGCAGGCGGCCCTTCTTCCCCTCTTTAGCCTCCATGTGTCCCGGGTTAAAGTCTCTCTCTGGTCCGGGAAACAGCCCTTCTCTCGGGTCAGATCCTGAAGAGGCTCCGGTATCTCGGGGTGTTTTTAAAACTTATTGGGGACTCTGCTCTCTCTGAGTCCCGCTCTGTGTCTCTGACGGAAACATAACGGACATGGAGGGCCTGCTGACCAATCAGAGCGCTCAGAACGCTGAGTGACGTACGCAGGGACCAATTCTTCTTCTTCTTCTCTTTCTAATGGCGGATCGCAAACAGCTTTTGGTTGCATACCGCCACCTACTGCACACGAGTGTGTATCATCATGTCATCCCTCTAATAAACCAGCATATCGAAAACATAAAACTAAGAAACCATAAAATAAATAAAACAAAACAAAAACAAAAAACAAATCATCCATGATCTATTCTAACCTACTGTTAGATTCTTTTCCCTGTCCCAGTTTCCCTCAAAAAGGTGAACAGTGCCTTTCTGGTAGCTCTTTCTCCTTCTCCTTCTGTTCCCAGAATACCAGTTACATTCCACTCCCTCTCTGCCTCTAAAACTTTATCCCTTAATTTTCCTCTTTCAACTCTATAGGTGACACAATGTAATAAAATATGTTCCACATTTTCCCTAACTCCACAGTTCCCACATTTGTCACTGTCACTTTCCCCCATGACATACAGCGTACCATTCAATGCAGTGTGATCCAGTCTGAGTCTAGCTATCATGATGTCCTCCCTTCTATATCTTTCTTTATAAATATTAATTGTAATTGTCTTTTGCACTTTATGATACTCTTTGCCTTTCTGGTCTTTCTCCCACCTTTTCTGCCAGATCTCCATCCCTTTCTTCTTAATGACTGCTTTTCCTTCTCCTTTTCCAAGTTTAACTGGTAATGTGATTTCCTTTTAGTGCACTTTTTGCTAATCTATCATTCCCTTTCACCCCCTCATGTGCAGGTACCCAGCAGAACTGCAGATCTATGCCGCCTCTGTGAAGTCTTAACAGGCTATGATTGATTTCTATGAGTATGTTTTCTCTGGCAGTTGTTGTCTGTGACTGGATCCTGAACTTCCTGACGGGCAGACCCCAGGCAGTGCGGGTGGGAAACATCACATCCTCCACCCTGATCCTCAACACCGGAGCCCCTCAAGGCTGCATGCTCAGCCCTCTCCTCTCCCTGTTCACTCACGACTGCGTGGCCACACACAGCTCCAACACCATCGTGAAGTTTGCTGACGACACGACCGTCATCGGCCAGATCACAGACGACGACGAGACGGCGTACAGAGAGGAGGTCGAAAACCTGACATCTTGGTGCCAGGATAACAACCTCCATCTCAACATCAGCAAAACCAAGGAGCTGATTGTGGATTACAGGAAGCAGCAGGGAGAGGGACACGCCCCCATCGCCATCAATGGGACTACGGTGGAGAGAGTCAGCAGCTTCAGGTTCCTTGGGGTCCACATCACTGAGGACCTGACATGGACTCTTCACATCACCACCATCACCAAGAAAGCTCGACAGCGGCTCTTCTTCCTCCGCAGGCTGAGGAGGTTCAACATGGATTCCAGGATACTCTGCAACTTCTACAGGTGCACCATAGAGAGCATCCTGACCTTCTACAGGTGCACCAGAGAGGATCCTGACCTTCTACAGGTGCACCCTAGAGAGCATCCTGACCTTCTACAGGTGCACCATAGAGAGCATCCTGACCTTCTACAGGTGCACCATAGAGAGCATCCTGACCTTCTACAGGTGCACCATAGAGAGCATCCTGACCTTCTACAGGTGCACCATAGAGAGCATCCTGACCTTCTACAGGTGCACCATAGAGAGGATCCTGACCGGCTACATGACGGCCTGGTACGGCAGCTGCACCGCCCTCAATCGTAAGGCTTTACAGAGGGTGGTGAAAACTGCACAGAACATCACCAGGACGGAGCTGCCATCCATGGAGGACCTTTACTCCCAGCGGCTCAGGAAGAAAGCCCTCAGGATTATCAAAGACCCCCATCACCCCAGCCACAAACTGTTCTGTCTGCTGCCGTCTGGCAGGCGTTACCGCAGCATCAGGACAAAAACAAACAGATTCAGAGATAGCTTCATCCCGCAGGCAATAAGACTGTTAAACACCTGAACTTAGTAATTATTTATCTATTATCTAATATATCATTCCAATAACTTGTATATAGACTCGTATTGCACTATTCCACTTTTTTTTACTCTCACTTTTTTTTAAAAACATTTTTATTTTTTTTATTTTTTATTTTATTTAACCTTTATTTAACCAGATAAAAACATTGAGATAAAATCTCATTTTCAATGCTGACCTGGCCAAGAAGGCAGCAACGTTACACATAACACATAACACAAACATATAAAATACAGAGAACATAACAAAGAAAACCAAAGACGAAAAAGCAGTCACTACATTGTGCACATTAGGACAATAAAAAGTACACTACTTGTTACTGCAAGAGCAGCTGGTGGTGAGGACTTCAGACAACTTCAACTTCAACTTTTTTGTATTACTTTTAATATAGTGTATTTTAATATTGGTTAATATTGTCTGCTTATCTGTATTATTGTGTTGCACTGTTGGAGAAGCCTGTGACATAAGATTTTCAACGACATAATTACTCTGTAGCTATGTTAGTTTGACAATAAAGAACCTTGAACCTTGAACCTTGAATTGTTGGGCTCTCCTGAACTCTAAGAGACAAAGATGACTGCTGACCCATCAGACCACATCCATCTTCCCTCCTTCTGGGTGTCACTGAGTCCGATCCATGTTACTCCCAGATTGAGGGACAGCTGCCACGCTGAAGCTTCCCTTGAGGGTTATCTGAAGGAGAAACAGGAGCCAGAGCCAGACCCAACAGGAAGAGGAACAACAGCATGATGATGTCTCTCCGTCACAGGAGCAGGATGAAGGGTTGTTTGTAGGTTGAGTTTATCTGCAGCCTTGGATGGGATAGAGACCCTGAAGGAGACAGATGACAGGCTGCTTTTTTTATATATGCATCGGAGAGGGTGTTTTCACTGTTGGCCTAATATTATGCCGGCTCCCTCCCTCTCTCTTCCTCCCTCTCTCCCCTCCTCACCTTGTCTCTCAGCATGCTGATGCAGTAGTCAACCTCCTTCTGACGCAGGATCAGCAGGTTTGGTGCTCCGTGGTCCACGATGAGGCGGAGATAAGTGTAGACCGTGATGGCTATCAGCATCCCGTTCTTCAGAACAAACTCCCTGCAGAGAGGAAAACACTTACAGTCAACATTCGGCCGTATCGCAGTCAACACTCGGCCGTATCGCAGTCAACACTCGGCCGCATCGCAGTCAACATTCGGCCGTATCGCAGTCAACACTCGGCCGTATCGCAGTCAACACTCGGCCGTATCGCAGTCAACACTCGGCTGTATCGCAGTCAACACTCGGACGTATCGCAGTCAACACTCGGCCGTATCGCAGTCAACATTCGGCCGTATCGCAGTCAACACTCAACCTTATCATAATAATAATAACTTTTAAGTGTGTTAAGTATTAAAAGTAAGCAGAGGACACCAAACCAACTGAGACCTGTCTGTCCGTTGCATCTACGCACACACTGTACAACACACACCTACACACTGTACAACACACACACTGTACAACACGCACCTACACACTGTACCACACACACATACAGCTCCTAAAGCATATCATCAGGCTACAGCCGTTGTGTATTTTATTATGTGAAGCACTAAATGGTTTTAGAAAAATATGGACTCTTTGTTTGTAGATATCTACTAAACTACAGCAAATACAGAGAGTAATGTAGGCCTGTTATACTGAGTGATATATATTTTACACACTGCTCTGCTTTCTGCACGGACCTCACAGCTGTTCTCTCTGTAAACATCGCGTCTGATTCAAGCAGTTAATAAAATAATAGAGTGGCGAAGTCCCTCCCCTTCCGGTGGACCTCCATGGGACCTTATTTCGGAAAAATTATGTATTGAAGTCAATGCCGAGAAAAACGTTATCTTTCGATCCCGTTTGAATTGTGCCACGAATTACACATATGATGTTTGTCAATTTAAAAGATAATTTTTCAAGTAAAAAATAAAGTGTTTTGCCGTAAAACTGTGAAGTAAGACTTTTTTAGTGTGAAACCGCTCAATGAACTACATCTCTGCACAATAACACACGTCACCAAGATGGCCGTCACTACTGTCTTGCCAAACAAGGGATTGACTACCCTCACTATCACCCTCTCACCCTAACCCTCACCCTCACTATCACCCTCACCCTCACTATCACCCCTCTCACCCTAACCATCACCCTCTCACCCTGACCCTCACCACAATGAAACACGTCCAGAAGAATGTCATGCAAAGCTGCCTGCCTTTGATTCTCCCTGAACTGCCTGATCTTTTTAATGTTCAATGTTAACCATTTGTGCAGATAGCATGAAGTAATAAAAGATCGCCGATGCTAATGTAGCGTTAGCATGTCTCCCTCGGGGGCATCCGGGCTTAAACGCTGTATTATAGAATGATCACACCGGTGTGACAGTACTCTTCAAAGGGTTCACGAAATATGACTACTACTCTTACTGTTTAACATTTTGGGTTACTTAATGTTACTTCATGTTAAGGCTAATAAAAATCACAAGGCTAAGCCGGCTGTAATGCTAACTAACGTGCTTGCTACTAGCTAGGTAGCTAACTTGATCAAGCCACTCCTGGTCCTTTCATCAGACGGGAAGCGAAAGAACGAGCAAGACCCTTTGCTGGTATGATAACAACCTGGTACTAAGCACACAGGCATCTTGTTAAAGTTATCTTATCTTAGCTATCTCTATTTTCAACACAGTCTCACGGCATTTCGTGTTATAGTCACGAAATTAATCTATTGATTCGTGTTCACCAACACGATTTCGCCATTTTTTTCGTGTCACACAGAACGATTTTAAAAGCAATGTAAATAATAACAAATTAGAAGGAAAAAGACATTTAAAAAAATACAGATTTAAGTATTCTGACACAGAACGATTTTAGAAGCAATGTTGGTAGTATGTTTCGTGCCTGCACCAAATAATAACAAATTAGAAGGAAAAAAAGATGACATAAAATACAGATTTCAGTATTCTGAGGCTCTGAGCCCCATTTATTTTCCTCACTGACGGCAAAAAAACTCAGACATTATACAATTTAAAATAAAAGGGATAGGGTTAGGCTTAGGGTAAGATATTGAGTAAGAACATGTTTTTATGAACCACACAGCTTCTGGTCTTCCAAGACCCGACCGGACAAAAAGACGTGTTGCAGGCACGAAACATACTACCAATAGAAATACATTGCATTTAAAATCGTTCTGTGTGACACGAAAAAAATCGTGTTGGTGAACACGAATCAATAGATTAAATTAATTTCGTGACTAATAACACGAAATGCCGTGAGACTGGGTTGCTATTTTAGTGGAGGAAAACAATTGTGGCATCAGTTACGCGACTCTGGGATTTGTAGTCTTTCTAGTTGTGTATTTTTCATAGTCTTATATTTCAACAGTTTTACAAAAAACTGTGACTTTTTTGACATGGAAATTATTATTTAAGATTGACAAACATCATATGTGTAATTCATAGCACAATTCAAACGGGATCGAAAGATAAGTTTTCTCTCTCCATTGACTTAAATACATAATTTTTCCGAAATAAGGTCCCATGGGGCGGAAGTAGATGGGCGGGACTTCGCCTCTCTATATCCAGGGGATGCATGCAGAGCTGTGATTGGCTGAGATCAGTCCGGCCGTGCGTCACGACTCTTTGAAACATCTCTGTTGCCGGAAATACATCCACAGAGGAACCGTGGAGGACCCATCAGTGTATCCTCGGTTATAGCTCCTCCAGAGAGCCTCCTCGACGCTCGGTCCTCGATGTGCATTTAGGGAAATGAGATGTCCTTCAACATGGCGCGCTGAAATCCATTTCCGGGTCACTACCGGAGGACCGAGGAGTCGAGGAGTCGAGGAGGGGAAATTGATGAAATGAGATACGACCTGTGTCTCTGACGGAGACATAACGGACATGGAGGAACTGATGACCAATCAGAGCGCTTTGAACGCTGAGTGATGTACGCAGGGACCAATTACAGGCCAGGAGATCCTGAGCCAATCAGCGGCCTCCTCACGGAACACCATGTATAACTTTGTGTACATAACATAAACATTTTTTATATTTTAATTCATAAAACTACTCTTATGTTTTTTTACTGGATTGGTTCTTCTTGTGTATTTTGTATATGATATTGTATTCCTCCTCCAAAAACACAGGTATTCTGAATATTATTATAAATAACACATATATGTTTATTTAGGAAAAATACATAAACATGTACACAAATATATATAAAAAACACATTTATAAACAAAAACATGAGATTAATGTGAGAAATAAATACATCTGAATTAAGAACAAATACCAAGTGTTTTTAGTGAATAGTTTATAGTTAATACACACATTCAATCAAACATTTATTATCTGACACTTATTTTAATAATTGTATGTATTAGACGTATCAATAAAGGTGAGAGAAAGATCTATTGATCTATTGGAAAGGAACCAAAACATATATAAGTATTAATTAATAAAGTGTGTATCTTTAATGTTTAATGTTACAGAGTGTTTACCCCCCCCCTCAGGATGTTACAGAGTGTTTACCCCCCCCCTCAGGCTGTTACAGAGTGTTTACCCCCCCTCAGGCTGTTACAGAGTGTTTACCCCCCCCTCAGGCTGTTACAGAGTGTTTACCCCCCCCCCCTCAGGCTGTTACAGAGTGTTTACCCCCCCCCTCAGGCTGTTACAGAGTGTTTACCCCCCCCTCCCTCCGTCAGGCTGTTACAGAGTGTTTACCCCCCCCCCTCAGGCTGTTACAGAGTGTTTACCCCCCCTCCCTCCCTCAGACTGTTACAGAGTGTTTACCCCCCCCCCCTCAGGCTGTTACAGAGTGTTTACCCCCCCTCCCTCCCTCAGACTGTTGCAGAGTGTTTACCCCCCCCCCTCAGGCTGTTACAGAGTGTTTCCCCCCCCCCTCCCCTCCCTCAGACTGTTACAGAGTGTTTACCCCCCCCCCCTCAGGCTGTTACAAAGTGTTTACCCCCCCCCTCAGGCTGTTACATTGTGTTTACCCCCCTCCTCCCCCAGCAGCCAGTATGTCCTCATGCTGCCCTTCCCCTTCATCTCCACCTCCCCCCGGAGCTGCAGACGGAAACACCCGAACTCCTGAAGAACCTCCTGAGTTGCCTGGGAGACATGGATCTTGAGAGCTGCGCGCGCACACACACACACACACACACACCACACACACACACACACTACACACACACACACACAACACACACACACACACACACACACACACACACACACACACACACACACACACACACACACACACACACAACACACACACACACACACACACACACACACACACACCACACACACACACTACACACACACACACACACACACACACACACACACACACACACACACACACACACACACACACACACACACACACACACACACACACACACACACACACACACACACACACACACACACACACACACACACACACACACACACACACACACACACGGTTTAGATTTATACTTTATTAATCCCAAATTGGGAAATTATTGTGTTTCAGGACCAGTTAAAGATAAAATGAAAATGAAAAATAGAATAAACAAATATAAACAATATACAGAATTCTGGATCATTAAAATGTTCCCTTGTCCTCTCCTGCTGACGTGCAGGTGTTTATCTATCAGCACAATGTGTTTGAGCGCTAACCAATAGGAGCGCAAGTGTTCCATAGTGATGTCACAACAGTGTCATTAACATCAAAAAACTTTAAAGCATGTGTAAATGATAGTGTGTGTGTGTGTGTGCGTGTGTGTGCGTGTGTGTGTAAATTACCCTCTCCGTTGGACTCCATGCGTGAGGCTGTGTTCACTGTGTCTCCGAACAGACAGTACCTGGGCATCTTCAGCCCCACCACACCTGCACACACTGGACCTACACACACACACACACACACACACACACACACACACACACACACACACACACACACACACACACACACACACACACACACATACACACAGTAAAGTATCCCTACATTGTGTTAATAAACTCAAACACACACACACACGCATACACACGCACGCACGCACACACTCACACACACACTGACCGCTGTGTATGCCGATGCGCAGCCGCAGCTTCTGATTGGCTCTGTGTTTGATAGAGAAGCTATCCCCCGCCTCCAGCAGAGCGAGCGCCATGCGTCCGATCTCTCTGCCGTGCTGCTTCCCGTTCCTCACCGGCAGCCCCGACACCACCATGTAGGCATCGCCGATCGTCTCTACCTGGAGGGGGGGGGGGGGGGGGGGGGGGCAGGTGAGAGGGGGGGACAGGTGAGGGGGGGGACAGGTGAAAAGGACAGGTGAGGCTTTAAAGTATTTTAAAGGTCTCCTATTATACTATTTGTAGGCAGATATCATAGGTCTCAGATATAAAGACATGTCTCTGAAGTGTCCTGCTCCAAACCCCAAACAGATCCTTGTAGCCCCCCCCCCTCTCTTCCAGCTGTTACTAAGGACATGTCTCTGAAGTGTCCTGCTCCAAACCCCAAACAGATCCTTGTAGCCCCCCCCCCTCTCTTCCAGCTGTTACTAAAGAGCTGACTCTGGGTCAGTAGCTTTATGGCGCATTTTCCACTACACGGTCGGCCTCGGCCACACTCGGTACGGCTCGGTACGGCTTGGCCGCGTTGGGCCTTAACAGGGCCGACTCACTTCATGCTGCGCTTCCATTACAGTTTAGGAACTGGGGTAGTTACTATAGTAACGCAGTGTAGGCGGAGCAGTGACGTCATCTTCAATGAGAAATCCAGAAACACAACACAGCCGTTAGCTGTGAGCACTCAGAGCTCACAGCTCCTTATATATGTTCAGAAACTCGACAAAAGTTAAACAAGTACACACCACAGACTGCCTGTGTCATGGTGAATACAGTCGCTGCCTTATTTATGTCTGTATAGGCCGTTGTTGTGAGTGTGGACGGTCGGGGCATATACTGCGTTAGCTTAGCCAATCTCCATCTAGAAAAACACGAATTTTAAAAGGTTTTTTCGCCTGCCGTCTGTCTGCAGACTTGACAAAGCATTAATTCATGGTTTTTACTAACCGGTATCAGTATGTTGTTACTTCGGCATCATTTTGAAACGTGTATTACAATTAAATCACGGTCAAATATGTCCATCTTGTTGTAGTTCTAGCCCTCTTGCCAGCGCTCCTCTCTCTAGTTTAGCATACTCAGCCCGACTCAGCCCTGTTTGTTGGCCCCGATAGAACCACAATTTTCTAGGGCCAGAAAAGAGGGGAAAAAGTGGCCCCGCGCCGTGCCGCGCCGGAACGAGGCCTAGTGGAAGCACAACCAAAAAAGGGGACGGCACGACACGGCACGCTTAAAGCGAGCTACGCGCTGCAATGGAAATGCGCCATTAGAGAGAGAGTAGATCTCATCAGGAGAACTCTCCCAGCAGAAACTCAGCTAAATGCTGCCGTGATGAAACTCCATATCATGTTCCAAACCACATCAAGGATTCTCTCTGAAACAGTATGGAGCTCAAACTCTTTCTCTCTCTCAGGTTTACCACAAGGTGACTTCCTTCTGTGTGTTCTGGAGAATCACAGAACGGCCGGCCGGCTCGGTTCGCTGACGGCCGGCACCGCCCTTAATTTTTTTTAAACAGCATCATGTAAGTTGCGCTGACAGGCGACAGAGGTCCACAGTTGCCCCGCAGCGAGGCTCCCCCCCGCTCCCGTAGACAGTTCACGAGCTCAGTCACTTCATAACACCAAAGATGGATGGCGGTAAACGCTCTAAAGTGAGGCTCCACTACACTAAAAAAGAAACACCAGCACAGTGTAATGCCTGTTAATAGCTTGCCACAGGCATAGCTCAGTTCAAATAAAGCACAGCTATTGTGCAATACATTTGTATTGCATGTATATTTTTTATTTGTAAAAATGTCAGTTAAAGCTTAAAAGAATAAAGATATTTTTGTTATCTAAACGTTTGACCTCTTTCTTTTACAATTTTGGAATCGAAACGGGGAATCGATAAGAACCGGAATCGGAATCGGAATCGATACATTTCAAACGATACCCATCCCTACCGGGGACACATGTTGATGTAGAGAAGACATCACTTTGTGAGTCTCCTGACACACCGGGGACACATGGTGATGTAGAGAAGACATCAGAGAGTGCATTCTGGATGATAGGAGACCTTTAACATGGAGTCTGGTTCTGAGGGAAGAGCCGCTTCAATATAAACATGTTAGCTTAGCTTAGCACTGAGCAGGTCTACCTTGTAAACATCAAAGTTGTCGATGATGGCGTCGAAGCAGGTGTACAGGTCGTTGAGCAGCGTCACCACCTGAGGGAACAACACAAACATGGGTTCCACTGGGTTCTACTGACCTTCAGTGTGGTTTTAATAGGTTCTACTGGGTTCTACTGACTTACAGAGTTGTTCTAACAGGTTCTAATATGACCTACAGAGTTGTTCTAATAGGTTATAATATGACCTAGAGCAGGGGTCGGCAACCCCTGGCACGTGTGCCACCATTGGCATGCGGCACCGTAACCAGTGGCACACTAGGAATAAGTGGAACAAGTGTGCAAAATATAAAAAATGTATTTTCGGATCCTGAACAAGACCGCCGCCAGAGCGCGTCTCCCCGTTACCTGCAGAAGGAAGCCATGCACGTAACGCAGCTCCACTCTCTTTAACTCCAGGCGACTTTCTTCCGCTTTCCTCCGTAGTGCAGTGCTGATCGTTTCACCACAGAGGAAAGCACTTCACAAATTGCAGTACCCATAAGGAGCTGTACAAATGCCGCAGTTTTTGAGTGGCTGTGTCTTTAGTTGAAAGCCCAGTGGCGATCTGCTCATCTCTCATCGAAATAATATGCTACAAAGGGGCGGACTGGCCATCTATGTGTTGAACTTTCCTGTCGGCTCCCAGACCGTAGTCGAGGAAACAGGGGGGACGAGGGCCTATTCTAAAAAATAATATTTGAAAAAATTAAAAAAGAAAACATTTTTTTTTAAATATTATTTTTTATATATTTTTTTGTTACATTTTTCATTAGTTTTACCAAAATAACTTGATTTAATTGTATTTAAAATAACATTTCCAAAGAAATAAATCCTTCGAATCTGCCTGTTCAGTTTCTGTTGGAATGTGAAGGGTTAAATGCCGTCTCTGCGGTACTGTGAAGACGGGAGAGCTTGTTGGTCCCTCTGTACATTCACAGAGGGCCAGCTATAGTAACTCAATGAGAGAGTAATGTCAAATGACAGTACAATTGACCAATCATATCCTCCCTCTAAATGGGTGGGCTTTATTTTCGCGGACTTTATGACAAGTTCCGCCCGCTGTGAGGTTTATGCAAGTGGTACAGTGATGCGTCCTAAAACCCAGAAGTAAGCTGCGCTCGGGTTCCCTCGACAGAAAAGCAATGGGATTTCTCATGGATGTAATAGCTGGAAATAAGGTCTGTGGAAAACGAACCTGATAGATAAATGCACGTTTTGTTCAGCTGGATAATATCCACATGTCTACCCTACTTTTATTATTTTCGAATCCTAAATCTAATCAATAGATTTATGATCGATAGATTTATGATTAGCATAAGTTCGTTCATGATGGCTCATGTCAGTGATAGTGATGACATCGTTGCGAAATTATTAACCGAGTCATTTTCAAGATTGAGTTACAATGATAAACTGGAGTGGCAAAGGATCAGCTGCATGACCCGCCATCAAGTGCTTCATCCAAAAGGACAGGAGGATGGACTTTGTGTTTAAGTGATTTGATCATCAAAGGTATAGGCCTAAGTCATTTTCAATGTGGGCCGCCGTGCCGACTTCATTCATTTGTAATTGTTACTTGGCTGTGGGTGCCCTGTCATGATAGGTGTTTATATAAATGGTGTTGTTTTGTGTGGTAGAGGGTCGCTGTCATTGATGCGTTTTGCACCCCGGGCCGTTGTTTTGATATTCCGCTGAAGTATACGCTGAGATGTAATAACTCTTCTTTTTTTTCGAGGGAAGGGGGGGGGGGTCAGAGGGCCTAGGTATAAAAGTCACGGCTTGCCACTGTTCATAGGAGTTATAGCGACATCGTGTTTTATGGCGAGGGATGGTGAGATCTCAGATTTGGCGTGGAGCTGTTGAGGCATGGACCGGTGATATACAAGTGAAGATTGGGGGACGATTGGACCGTGTCCATTGGACTTACAGCGACATCGTGTTTCATGGCGAGTGGTCTGTCGCCATTGGCAACGGCATTTGATGACACCCCATAATACGCTTAGATGCGTTGATGGCTGCATCGTTACCAAACCTGTGAAGTTTTGGGCCGTTTGGAGCATTTTCACTGAAGTTATAAGAAAACCATGTTTCATGGCGAGCCTTGTGTTACCATGGCAACGGCATTTGAAGAAATCTCAAAACTGTCCCGTAGATGTCTTCACGGCTGGACTGTTAGCACACATGTGAAGTTTGAGCACTTTTTGAACATTTTCATAGGAGTTAATGTATAGCGACATCGTCTTTTATGGCGAGGGATGCGTTTCCATGGAAACGGCATACGATGACACCCCATAATTGACGAAGAGCTGTTGAGGGCAGGACCATCAACCATTATCTGAAGTCTGCTGCTCTGAACATGTCAGTTGGAGTTATGACATCATCGTGTTCCATGACACAGGTGTTTATAGTTGAGCTAACGAGGTGTCCAGAGATCAAAGGTTTCCATTGTTCTGAATGAGAGATAAACCTGTTACATGTGAAAGTTTTGTTGAAGAACCGTAACAGATATCGGTGAAATTTCAAAGTGTGAAGCATGTCAAGGAAGTTGAGCATCTGAAGTGTGCTTTTTGTGTACTTTCGGGTCAATAATGTGGCCTTTTTGGCAGTTTAACTAAAGGTGTGCGGCTGCTGCTGTGAGGAAATATCAGCCTGAAATTACAATGGGCTTTAATGGAGGCATGTTGAACGTTTTTGTCACTTCATGCCCTCAAGAGGCATTTTGTTGAATTATTTTGGTTAATTATTTGTCATTTTTCAAGCTACGAGATGTTTTCCTACGTTTTTCATGAGAAATGATGTCTCAAGAATGTAGGGTTTGGGAATTATGGCAGTTTTAAAAAACAATATGAAGGCAAATTTCAAGATTTCCTACCCTCTAGCTGTGACATCACGCACTCTAGTTAATGTTAAAATCTGAAGAAGGCCTCTTTACCAAGGTCTGAACAATGTTTAATATCTCTAAAAGTAAGAATCAGATTTAAAAGTTGTGTTACACGAATAATGTCAGAAAGATGTGTAACATTTTAAAGTTGGAATGAGGTTTCTGAGTGAAAGTATGAAGGAAGAGTTAGCAGTTGAAGTCGCATGAAGATTGTTCAAGTCTGAAGATTTTCTCCATTGACTTCCATGTTAAAAATGTGATCTCGGGAATTATGAAAGTCATGAATGAGAAAAGTAATAGCAATCGATTCCCGACCGAGCTGAACGTTTTGATGTTTGAACGGAGTTTCTGCGATGTGGAATGTGGGAGGAGAAGACCGGCAAAATAACGAGCGGAATAAAGATTTTGAAGAACAGATAGTGGGAAGGCTGTATCAGCATTCCCACTAAATAACCCACTTTGGCTTAAATGACTGGAGAGAGGCGAGCTCTTCTTGGGAGGCCGTTGCATTTATTTAGTTGTTCTTCTGTTTCACAAAGTACATCACAGACCTCTGTTTTTCTGCTGCCTCGTTTTACTTCCAGAAACATACACACGCTAGCTCACTCTCGCTCTACCACCCCCACACACACATGCACACGCCACACCCCTCTCTCTCTCTCTCTTAAAGGGACAGCGATCTCATCTCACTCTGCATGACCCTAATATCATAACATGTGTGTTCTGGAGAATCACAGAATGGACGATGGTCCTTATTATTATGCCGTTTAAACCAATTATTTCAATTTGTTTGTTAAAGGACACCTATCATGCTATATTTAAATGATATATTGTAGGGCCATACCTATATAAGGTATATTTATACGTTTCTGTTTTCAAAATACCAAACAGATCATGCATTTTAGCCATGCCTCATTTCGCTCTATTTGCTGTTCTCCAGCCCTGTTTTTGCAGGGGGCTGATTCTGTGAGCTGCAGCTGACCACGCCCCCCTGCAGGAGAGGATAGCGTGCTCTGATCAAGTCAGAAGAAAGGGAGAAAAATAGATCTCCGTCCTCCGTGTTTTATTATATAGAGTCGTTATTCATTTGTTTTAAAGCTCAATAAATAACAAAGAAGACCTTTGACCGGCACTTTTCAAATTTTGTCCGGAAGATTTAAACTTTAACGGACATCTTGACCGGCGAAAGTAACTGAAACTGAAACTCTGCCGCACGGTCCCCTCGTTCCTTGGAAGAGGCGGAGAGGTGGGTGTTTGTCATCTGCTGGTGGACTAACCCGGAGAGAATTACAGTGCTTGCCTCGACGGGGAGGGATTGCATTGAATTACAGCAGCAGCAATCCCTCCCCGTCGAGGCAAGCACTGTAATTCTCTCCGGTTAGTCCACCAGCAGATGACAAACACCCACCTCTCCGCTTCGGGGAGGGAGAAAAAAAGCCACAGCGGAGAATAAACAGAAGGGGAACCATGGCAACCATGCGCGGGAAGTCTTCTTCGCTGCTTTTGTGGCAGACTACAGCGCCACTTACAGGCCTGGCATATGTACTACAGCGTCTCCAGCGCTTTCGAGCGGCAATGGCCGGCCGTGGCCCAACCCCACATTCCCCTGATAGGTGGAGAGTTGGCCCAATAGCCGTAGCGCCACCGTCCTGACGTCAGGACAGTGTTCAAATCTGGATCAGTTTTTATCAGATCCGATGCAGCCCCTTTTTTAGAGATTTGGGTATGGAGGAAAATAGAGAGGGTTGTGTTTTCTGACACTTGGTGAGTTCCCTGGAACACCGGGGACTAGGGATGTTAAGATTCACCGATTCGCATCGGTGCACCGGCATAAACGTTCAAGATGCGAGTGCACCGGTCAAAAGAGTGCACATCGGCTACAGTTTGGGTTGAACTCGCGATGCATCGATTGTAGCGTCTTTGCATCGGTAAAAAAACGATTCATTCATATAATATCCTCTCATCCTGTCAGCACTCAGCAGAGACGATCTTTGATCTTTGCTTCGCACTACGGAGGCCGAGAGTCTCACTTATCAACACACATGGAAGTCGAGGAGAAAGAGAAACACAGCGCACCGAAAAATACCTACAAATCAAATGTTTGGCAACACTTCGGATTTTTCAAGAAAGACGGTCAACTTGAAAAATCGCTCACAAATTGTAAACGATGCCGTGCGGCTTTAAAGTACACAAGTAGTACGAGGAACTTAGCGACGCACATAAAGAGGCGACATGGGGTCTGCGGCTGAAAAGAAAAACCTGAAAGTTAGACATGAGTTCAATCACTCAGTGAGGTATAATGTCAGAGAGAGTGGTGTTTAGTGTACAACAGCTGTGACTGCCAATAATAGTTTAAATGTCTTCCTTACAATTGTAAGCAGTTATGAAATACCTGTTTGTGAAAGGTTATTTGTATTTTTTATTGTTCATATAGAAACCACTGCTTTCTGCTCACTGGTGAGTTAGCCTATGAATGAGTGTTAAGCACATCAGGCTGGCAGCTGTATGGGCATTGCACTATGGTAGTTGTTATTTGCACATTGTTCATCATGGGCAATGCATCCTTAAATTGTTTAACTGTGAGGTGTTATACAATTGTACTGTACTCTGGAGAGTGTTTTAAGGTAAAAAAGAAACAGCATGATGGGATGTGCAGTACTAGTAGAGAGAACCAAATATGTAAAGCACTTTTTTGTTAATTTATGATTTGCTGCATATAAGGAATAAAACAAAAATCCTCTGTCGTACCATATTGAAGTATCATTATTTTGCATCGTGTTGAATCGCATCGTATCGCCCCGAATCGCATAATGTTGAATCAAATCGTATCGAACTGTATCGCAACAGGGGTGAATCGTATCGTATCGCATCGCCTGGTGTTTCAAATGTATCGTTAATGTATCGTATCGTTGGCAATGTATCGAGATGCGCATCGCATCGGCCTCAGTGATGGAGATGCACATCCCTACCGGGGACACATATTCATGTATAAAAGACGTACAAAAGTGCATTTTGCATGATAGGTCCCCTTTGAATTCGGCATCATGTAAGTTGTGCTGACAGGTCCACACACTGCTTCCCTGCAGCGAGGCTCCCCCCGCCCTCCTGTTGACAGTTCACGAGCGTCAAGCTCCTCAACCCCCCCCCCCCCACCGTTGATAATTCACGATTGTCGGCACGCTGATTAGGGCTGCTCGATTATGGCAAAAATCATAATCTCGATTATTTGGGTCAATAATTGATATCACGATTATTAAAAACGATTATCCATTTACGTTGAAAACATCAATTTATTGGAGAAAAAAAAAGTGAACAGTATGTTTTTAACAGTTGGTAGGTAAGTTTGAGAAACCGGCTCGAGATACACTTTTTGTTATATTCCATGGAATGCTCTTAACATCCCGATAGCAATGAATATCTTAAGTGCTTTGGCAAAAAATCCATAAAAAAATGTTCATCTGTGGAAGCCGTAATACTGTAAAAAGCACGACCAATCATTTTAGCCGGCCCGGCTAAAATAACTGGATGGCCTACCTGCCTGTCAGCTTTCCATCTGTACACAAACTTATCTCGTGCCCTCATTGGTCATGTGCGCGTTCGTGTGTGTTGGAGGAGGGGCTCTATAAGGAAGTGGCAAATTTTCTCCAGTTGTGTATTTTCAAATTCTAGCGATCTCGAGCCGGTTTCTCAAACTTACCTACCCCACCTTTAAGTATAATTCAACTGAAAAACCAATAAAAAATATTTTTCATTTAAAAATAAATAATAATAATAATAAAAATATAATCGTTTTATTTCGATTACGTTGTTTTCGTAATCGTTGCAAGCCATAATCGTAATTGCGATTAAAATACGATTAATTGAGCAGCCCTAACGCTGATAACAATTTCTTTTTGTAATGGCACTTCATATCAAAAAGGTTGCCGACCCCTGACCTAGAGAGTTGTTCTAACAGGTTCAAAAAGGTTTCTCTGACCTCCAGTGTTGTTATAACTGGTTCTAAACGGTTCCTCTGACCTGCAGTGTTGTTCTAACAGGTTCTAATAGGTTCTTCTGACCTGCAGTGGCGTGCTCTCCGCAGACATCGCTGTGAACCCGATGATGTCACTGAAGTAGATGGTGACGGAGTCGAAGGCCTCGGCCTCAACCGTCTGTCCTCGTTTCAGCTGCTCTGCAACTGAGCTGCAACACAGCAAGTATTACTGTAGTACTGCGTAGTATTTAGTGCAGTACTCACTGAGGTAGTATCTGGTACAGTATATATGTACTCACTGAGGTAGTATCTGGTACAGTATATATGTACTCACTGAGGTAGTATCCGGTACAGTATATATGTACTCACTGAGGTAGTATCTGGTACAGTATATATGTACTCACTGAGGTAGTATCTGGTACAGCAGGGTCTCTGCTTTACGCTTCTCTTCATGATACGCCTGAGTCCGTTCCTCCACCAGTTCCTCCAGGTTGTTGGCGTATTGTTCCATCCGGGAGAGCAGGTTGTCCAGGATGTTAGAACCGTAACCCCTGAGAGACAGACGTTAGAACCGAACCACAGAGAGACAGACGTTAGAACCGTAACCTCTGAGAGACAGACGTTAGAACCGTAACCCCTGAGAGACAGACGTTAGAACCGAACCACAGAGAGACAGACGTTAGAACCGTAACCTCTGAGAGACAGACGTTAGAACCGTAACCCCTGAGAGACAGACGTTAGAACCGTAATCCCTGAGCAGAGTTCCCGTTAGCCGGTAATTACCGGACTATGACCGGTAAAATATGCTGAAGACCGGCAAATCTAAATCTCTCTGGTCAAAATGTCCGGTCAAAATAATTTCCCCTTAGCGCAATACCGCATCAGTTGCGCCACTTATGTGACAGTCAAGAATAGTCTGTGACAGACAAGAAGAGTGTGTGACAGACAAGAATAGTCAATTCTAATGTCTAACACTTAATGTGGAGAACGAGATGTCCTGTATGGGTTGATTGTGCGTTGATCTGTTGGTAATGCCTCGGGGTTCCGGTGGGCATGTAAACAAATGCATAATGCTGCGCTATACTTTGTGGCCTCACCCGGTTGCATAGCGACGCTTATTGTTGAGGTGTCTTTTAATAAGCAGGTAGTCATATCATTAGCTAGAACTAGCTAGATCTGATCGATATGAACATAAACACGAGTCTAATCTGACGGGAGAGAGAGATCAGCTGCTGCTGATGAGTCGACACGCAGCTCTGCATGATCCCCTGCAGCGGTGAGCGGAACAAAACACACTTCAGGTTAGAATATCACGTAGCTATTTTAATGACCTCTCAAACTACCTAAACTAGTTATAGATATGTTTAGTTTTACTGTCGGGTCACTCATTACTGGATCCGCGAGCTGCATGATACTGGGGGGCTGTCAGGAGAGGGAGAGAGCGCTCCGTTTATTATTCCTGTGTTATTGTAAATTACTGTACACTTTTGAATAATGTAGTTAATCTACTATAATTAGTTTGTTTAATATCGAATCATATCAATTTGTTTTAAAGCTCAATAAATAACAAAGAAGACCTTTGACCGGCACTTTTCTAATTTTGTCCGGAAGATTTAATCTTTAACGGACATTTTGACCGGCAAAAACATATTCTAACGGGAACTCTGCCCCTGAGAGACAGATGTTAGAACCGTAACCCCTGCAGATAATACATTTTATAAAGGAGTCTCTCAAGGACCTAAAACACAGTTTAAAGTTGACCCCCAACCATTGTTTGCCCCCCCTTTTTGGTTCCCCCCCATCACCTGTGCTGATGCCCCGCCCCCCCCTCACCTGTGCTGATGCCCCTCCCCCCTGATATTGATGCCCCACCCCCCTGATCTTGATGCCCCGCCCCTCTGATCTTGATGCCCCGCCCCCTCACCTGTGCTGTTTCCTCAGCAGGATCTTGATGCCCTGCCCCCCTGATCTTGATGCCCCGCCCCCCCTGATATTGATGCCCCACCCCCTCACCTGTGCTGTTTCCTCAGCAGGATCTTGATGCCCTGCCCCCCTGATCTTGATGCCCCACCCCCCTGATATTGATGCCCCGCCCCCTCACCTGTGCTGTTTCCTCAGCAGGATCTTGATGGAGCTGAAGTCGGGACGTTCTGCTGGTTCTTGGTTCCAGCAGCGCTGCATCAGGAGCCCCAGATCCTCGCTGTGGCTGAGGGGGCAGAGCGAGGGTCTGAGGGGGGGGAGTGGGGGGGAACAGGTGAGGTGGGGGGCGGAGCCATGACGCACCGCCTGCACGATCTCTGAGGGGGGGGGGGGGGGACAATACGTTACATTTGTTAATATCTAAAAAAAAAACAATTGAAATAATTATAGGTGTTTTGAAAATCCTGAATGTCCTCCTCCAATATGAGAGTAACATGATACCAAAGGTACCCCAACTGAAGCTGTGTACATGACAGGATGTATGATTACCTAGAAGAGCATCAGGACTGTTTTAGGCATATGATAGCTCTGTGATTAACATGATGATTCAGCCTCTATGGAGATAGACATATGACAAGCATGATCATTTCTGACGTGGAGCTAATCTGAAGTAAACATTGAATACTGCTTTCTATTCCTCCATCTTGTGACTGTGTAACTCCCTCTCTTGGATATCAGCATGTGAAGGACAGTGTTCAGGAACTAGTTGATGCTCTGTATGTGATGACTACTTCCATTCTGGAGAGGATCACAAATACATGGATCCTGAGATTGAAGATCAAGCCGGGGACCAGTGAGAGTTTTCTAACATTAGGTATCATGAAATAATATTCAGATTGATTGAAATGTAATACATTCATATTCATATTAAAACCTTTTCAAATATAAAATCTATGTAAATATTGTGACAGCTGTCAGCTCAGATTGTTCTCTGATATGTAGACAGCTTCCTGCCTCCATCTTTGTTTTGCTCTCTGTCGACCAATCAGGACGAACCTGCTGATCACATGACTTTCATGAAGTCTAAATTCATAAAACTTAGACAAACTTAGTATTATCTTGAAACAATAACACATTTAAAAAGCTATTAAATAATTACTGTTAGTCATCATGAAAATATATCTTATCCAGAAATGTTTAGTAAGTAATAACAAGTAAAATTGTTGATGAAAGCTGTGAAGCCCTAAGAGTCCACAGGGGGGCGCCATCAGTCTTTAAACATACACATCAGATGTCTGCCTTCATTTGAACTGATAATTAAACAATATATAAATAGATGATTTATATTAAATTCTGCATCATGAACTTCCTTACAGCAGGACTGAGTTCATCATTCAACTAAATACAGTATCCAAGTGTGACTTCAGTTTAGTTTTAGATACTTAAACTTTACTTCTTTTTCGAGTGCTTACCAGGGTTTAGAAATAAATATAATCAACAAATACATGAAGTATTATTACAGAATAAAGCATTAAACTGATATGTGTGTGTTGTGGGGACCTGATATGTGTTGTGGGGGGGACATGATATGTGTGTTTTGTGGGGACCTGATATGTGTGTCTTGTGGGGACCTGATATGTGTTGTGGGGACCTGATATGTGTGTGGTGTGGGGACTGTTAGAAATTAAAATCAATGTTGATGTGGCGTAATTTGAATGAAATACACTGTATTTCATTTAAATCTGTTTTATTCTGAAAACCGAAGATTCACAAGTGACTTCCGGTTTTCCGCTGGTGAATTTCGTCATTTCCGGTTAGCATTAGCTTGTGGCGAAATGCTACGTTTTCAAACCGTGAATTGAAGGTGAAATAACATGATGTTGTACACTAAACACCCTAGGTGTAACACTCATTTATTGACGCTGGAATGAGGTTTATTAGGGAATGTTTAGATGACCACAGACATCAGAGTGATGTAATTCAGCAGCAGAAACCGACAGGATTTGCATTGGACACGCCCCCGTCGACGCCGGCCAATAGGAGAAGACTACAGATGTTACCCGGGAGACCCAAGAAGGATCTCTCTCTCTCCTTGCCCCCAGCTGACGGGACCAAACAGCTGGCAGGGGGAAACCACCAACGAGCACATTTCATTTGTATACCACCGCATCTTTTGTGTAATTAAATGCTGTTAACTTTTATAAGCTTGCCTTGACTCTTTTCAGTCTCTCCTGCTCTCGGGGTTCAAGAACCACTAACAATTGGCAACCAACGAAGGGACTCTGGAGAGAGGAGAGTGGGCGGTGGTGGCGAAGTCGATAGGGACTTGGCTTGGCAACTGGAAGGTCACCAGTTCAAGTCCCGGCAAGACCAAGTGCTACCGAGGTGTCCCTGAGCAAGGCACCGTTCCCTACACTGCTCCCCGGGCGCCATCCACGGCAGCACACTGCTCCTAACACTAGGATGGGTCAAATGCAGAGGAACAATTTCGTTACATAGTACCTGTACTGTGAAATGACAAAAAGAGCAATTTATTTTTTTAGAGTGCTGGAAGAGAGGAAAGCTGCAGCTAACTAGCATCACAACAGGCGGCAGACAAAGGATTTTTTGGCTGGGCCTAAATCAAAGGTGAGACGGTTACCTGTTTAATTCAAAAACTGTATAGTTAAATAACTTACATTAGGTGCAAGCGTTGGTGGTGAGTAGTAGATTGATCTGTGGTGCGGTTTTGTTTATAGTGTTTCTTCGGCGCCGCCCGATTAATGTGAATATTAAAGACCTTTGGGAAGGCACTAGAGGTTATCTGGTTTACATTGGACTGGCTCCAAATAGTGTTAAGATCTCTGGGGAGGTACGAGCCATGATCTGTTTTGCACTGGACTGGGTCCGTTCATGTTAGTTTATATGTTTGATGTGTTAAACCGGCGTAGTCTCGTTTAATAAAGTATATTGTGTGGAGTTCTTAAGCCGAAAAGTATATTTTTGTGTGATGTTCTAAGCCGGAAAGATTGTGTACAAGATTGCTATAAGATCAGCTTTTAAGGTCAGCATCTATAGAATTTAGAGCTAAGATAAATGAAGATTGTCTTGTTTTGTATTGGAGTTTTTCAAGCAGTTTGGTTTTTAAATTGCATCACATGTTCCCATTGTTCCCCTCCCCTTCCCCCAGTCACATGAGGTTAATGCTATACTGCTAAGCTAGTTAGCTAGCCAGTTGGCATTACTAGGTGGTGAAATAGTTTGAGTAAAGATACAACTGTTAACTACTGATTAAATACACAGGGATGGTGTAGATGAACATTGAGAGTAGATTAAGTTGTTTTTGTTTTTCATGCTTTTCAAAGAAAGTAATTTGAACTTTATTTGGGTAAATAAACCGGAAGTAGGTTTATGAACCGGAAGTACTAGCTGATACATTTGAAAGGAGTTAAAAATAAAACAGCTCCCCGAGCGGACATAAGTATTACAGTTAATACATTCTTCACCACACACAGATAAAGATTACATGTGGTTTCTCTGAATTGAAGTATTGTAGTTATGACATTTGCATAATTTCATAAACTTCAGAATACACTGTACACAGTTTATTTGGATTTTCACCATATTCCTATTTTCATATTTTAAAGGTCAAAACCATACACTGTACATTTTTTATTTTTTAAATTTCTGATTTTAAAATTTGCATAATTTCTAATTTACTTTATTAATTTTTTATTAACTTTAAAAAAAAAATAAAAAAAAAGATTACCAGATTCTAAAGTTGAGTTCAGATGACATAGGATACTTTTATAAAGAATACAAAGGTACTATTCAGTGGATTAGTAATTCTTCTTTGATAAACTTCATAATTCCATCCAAGTGAAACATGTCACGAAATGACACTAAGTTAAGAGCATTCTCAATGCCAGGCTCAACTGCAGATATTAAGGAGAGGGTAAACATCAGGTCAGATGCTATGACAGCGCCAAAAGATAGACAGAAGACATGGAACAGAATAGAGAAACTGTTCGAGCAGTGGCAAACGAGAGGATTGATTCCAGCAGATGATAAACCTGGACCAACGAAAGCCCATAGAAAAGCTGTAGTTGAATATGAGAATGGAGAATACCTACAACAGCAAGAGGCATGGATCAAAGCCGGACGACCCTCGTGGTATGGACCTGGAAAAAAGCGCTATGAACAAAGCTGAAGAAAGAAAAGCTAGAGTTACAAGTCTGATACTCCATCTAAAATATGCCAGCCAGGGATTGACAACAAGCTTACATTTGGTAGAAGCAGCAGATCTGCCAGTAAATGAAGACACAGCAGAAATAACAGAAGAGGCTCCAGTTATCCAAACTCCAAAGCAGTATCCAAGCCTGACCGAAGTGTCTCCTCCCGACATATCAGAGAACAACCCTTCTCACCGAGCTTCAATTCAAGCCCCAAATGTGAAAGAATTGGCGTATGAGGTAAGAATCCTATCCAGTGTCAACCAGCTGATGGAAGCAGAACTCATCAGAGAGGAAGAGTTCAACAGAAGAATGGAAGCAGAACTCATCAGAGAGGAAGAGTTCAAAAGAAGAATGGAAGCAGAACTCATCAGAGAGGAAGAGTTCAAAAGAAGAATGGAAGCAGAACTCATCAGAGAGGAAGAGTTCAAAAGAAGAATGGAAGCAGAACTCATCAGAGAGGAAGAGTTCAACAGAAGAATGGAAGCAGAACTCATCAGAGAGGAAGAGTTCAACAGAAGAATGGAAGCAGAACTCATCAGAGAGGAAGAGTTCAACAGAAGAATGGAAGCAGAACTCATCAGAATGGAAGCAGAACTCATCAGAAGAATGGAAGAAAGACAAAGACAAGAACAAGAAGAAAGGAAAAGATGGGAAAAAGAGCAAGAAGAGAAAAATTACCGAACTGGTTGCTCTCCTGAACCAACACATTCTGCAGATGAAAGATTCCAAGAAATTAAGGAAGAAAGAAAACAACAAATAACTCAAAAATGGGGAGAATCTCAAACAAAACGCCGAACAAATTACTCTCCTGACAAAGACTATTCCAAAGGACATGGAGATGAAGATGACGACGGCAGTACACAGTTTGTAACCAGTAGACACTCCCCCTACCAAGAACAGTCACAGCAACGACGCAGATTTGCATCTCCCTCAGAGAACAATAGTAGGGACGAATACCCTGGGACATGCCCCAAAGCTGGAAGAACCAAGACCAGTGCACATACCTCCATGCCATTGATAGCGGCTGAGAGAGGAGGATTTGACTACCAACCATGGGCTCACAGGGACATGGAATCATTAGTGGCAAAGCTACCTCCACTCACCCAAGGAGGTCAGAAGTGGGTGAAAGATCTGGAGAAGTACACTGTCCAAGACCACCTGTG